TTGAAACCTATTAACTTTCACCCATGTTTCTTACAATAAATACGACAAATAGAGTTATACAAAAACATTTCTACTTTTGTGAACTGAAACCATTCTGCTCTCCCTGTGGTGAAAAGGAAGGATCCAGGTTCCACCAGAGCCTGAGGCTTCTGAACAGCAAGGAGCTCATAAAGTAAGAGTTGTTTAGATGATCTGAGCAGGGTGATTCATATCCTGTACCACAAAGGAAAAAAAATCAAAGTAAATAAACAACCTTTCTTCCATAATAACAAACACAAGACAGTAAGCAGTGATAACAAAAAAACAACAGGTCAATTTAGTCTGTAAAACAGCTAGTAATTTTGGTTCAAGACTCAACATGGGTCTGGGTTTGAGCTCTGGCATATGGATACCAACACTGTCCAGCAAACTAAAAGAGTTCCTCACACCTTCTCTGAATTTTAATTTGACCTATCTTGAATGAACTGTTTACTGCAGCTACAAACTTAGGTTAAGTCTGGCAAAGAAAGTAAAAAATAATACAAGTGGCTTGTAAGAGGAGATAAAAATGATGAATTCCCTCTTGCATATTACTGTCTAATGATTGCCATGTATTTTCTGAGGGCAATGCAAAAATGTATGTTCTCTTTCGACTTCTAGAAAAAAAAATTTAAAGAAGGTGAAAATTCTCTGAAATGCAGAAGTCCAAAAGGACCATTGTGGCCATCTCGCTCCCCTGTCTCCCTGACTTTTCCACTCATTGATTTTCTTCCTGACATTTTACTTCCTGTCCGTAAGAAAGAACTACAGCCTTATTCTAATGAGCCCAAGTGATCTTGTATCTGCTGCCTTTTTGTTGTAAGCTGTTTCCATGTTTAGCTGCTGTTAGGAAAGCTCCTAGCTTTAAAGTTCCACTGAACTGAGTTCAGCCTCACTTACCAGTCCTTGTCACATCTTTCTAATTCAGCATCAAAGCTCTCATCTGTATCACCTAAACATTAGCAGATCTCTTCTATGAACTGAAATGTTCACAGAAACTGAGCTTCTTTTAGTTTACATTGTAGGCTTTAAATTCTCAAGATTCTCTTTAGGACTCTGAAATTTTTAATATATCTGCATTCTTCTGAAGTGTAGATAGTAGTGCTGATACACTAATATAGTATAGACAGCAGTGCTATACTAGAAGTAACAATGCTTGCCTGCTTCCACCTGACAATCTCTCTTATACATCCATGATTAACATGGTCCCTTTTGCCACCATTTTTCATTTATAATTCACTTATACTGAGAGACATTGTTTGCGTTGAACATTCTGTTCTTACGTGCTAAATTTCCCAGGGTTTTTTTGTGTCCTGTTACGTTCATCTGCACTCTTTGTTCCAAATCATCTTGTATTTGGATACTTAGAAAAGCTTCTTGGCATTTGAATTATATATGATTCTCTGTAATTTGCTTTACATAATTTTTCGTCCTACAAACTGTTTTGCACTTAGAAATTGCTATGAAAAATATGACTGTCTTCACCGTCTTCATGAAAATAAAATATTATTAATAATAACAATAAAAACATGCTGTATGGACTTTACACTGAAAGCTAATCCCTGCAAGACCTACTACTGATTTCACTCAATGAAATGTTTTTCTGATAACCAGAATTTGGATCCATTACTATGCCTAAAATCTAAATTCTAAAGTCAATATCTCAGCCAGAATTGTGCAAAGGCTCCTGTCTTCAAAGATAACCCTGGGATTTAAGTGAGGATATTTACAGTCTGTATCTGAACACATATTACCACCCATAGCCTGGAGTGATTTATAATTTCTGGTTCTGAATCATATTAGTGAAAATCCAGAATAGCTTCAGTGACAAGTATGAGAGCAGAATTTGGCACCAAGTAAGTACACAGTCCTAATTGTAACAATAAAACATCGGGTGGAGTCTAGTGTACCTAATTTAGATGCCTAAACTTAGGTGCTGCCTCACTGAAAAACTGTCTACGATGGATGATTCTGCATTTGTGACCTATATTTCTAAAAACACACAGGGGGAAATGCAGGCAAACTTAATTAGGCCTGTCCAGATTAAGATCTCTGATGTTTAAGGAGACCGCAAATGTAATATATTTTAGCCCTGAAAACACATTTAACTCAAAACCAAGAGAATGAGCTACATCGTTTCATAAATAACTCAAACCCCTAGAGACACAAATTATGTTATTGCCATAAGCATACTATCATCTAAGCCAATTTTAGCCACCTTCTTGTAAGCTTTAAAGGAACAAGTGTTTTCACCTAGTAATTACATTCTGCAGAGCTGTAACTTGCTATCCAATACTAACTTGCACCTACCTACATCTGGTACAACAATCAGCATAAACTGCTCACTGCTGGGATTCAAATTCCTAACACCTTTAAAACAGACTATAGATAAACCAGATATTATAGCTAAAACCTGTGGGGGGATAAGTAATAAAAGTCTGTTGGGTTATGCACTTTAATCTGCATCAAGTGGATAAGCACACAGAAACTTAATGCAAGAATTCCGTGATCTGTACCCAAAAAACTGTGTTGGGTTTACTGTCCACAGACTCACACTTTCTCCAGTATAATCTAGTCTTTATGTATTATAGTACTCAGTAGAGACAGTACAGAACTATGAAAATTAATAATCAAGTCTTGAGATTAAAAAGTAGAAAGGGAACTGTAATGAGTAAAAAGAAAGATAAAGCTATCAAGTTTATTCAGGATCCCAGTGCCATATCAGTATCTGAATTTCACACTAAAGACTCCTAACTCAAATATTCTGAATACACACCCATGGTTCCTGAAAATCCTCATAATTTTTGATGGGTTATTTTTCAAAATCTCCATTTGACTTTGCTATTATAAGATCATTGTGTTAGTAAAGAAAATGATTGTAAAATTATGCTAAAAATCATCTCATATGCTGCCCACGTTGTTTGGTTTTGCTTATTCTAGCAATGTTTATATGTACATCTAATCTCTTCAAAAAGGGAATGAGAAGATTTGATGAGCATGCCTTGAACCCAACGTCTCCTGGTACAATGAAATACGTTACCTAGGCTTCCTGGGAATACACCACCAGGAACAGATGAAGATAATGTGGTTGTGTATTATGTGATAATGATTATTCTGACTAAAGTATTCACCCCAAGGTATGTTTTAGCATCTGTTGTTTATTTTGGCAGGACTCTGCATTTATATTTTTAAGATATTTAAGTGGGTGAACATATTTTCCCTTAATGACTATCAAAATGGAAAAACTGACAAGAGTCACATGGGACTATATACAAGAGATGGCAAGGAACATGAATCCAGATAAAAATGTACTTTAGTTCTAACACTCTTGATTGCCATAAGAATTTAGGGTGCAAATTTGAGAAAGATGCTAGTACTGACTTTGCAAATCAATGAAGCCACTTTAAGAGGAAGTGTTGTGTTCTTGATTATTTTTTATGATCTTGGCAAGAAATTATGCACTATATAAAGTTAATGACACAGTAAAAGTTTCTGGCCTGTGTTATACAAAAATCAGACGAAGTGACATAATGGCTCTTTTTTATCTGTAAGTGCAGGATGTTTGAATCATGTATAAGTTTACCTATTATATTAAACATAAATACAGAAATGGTGGGTTGAAAAAGCAGTGCTGACAGTGAGTGTGTTCATCTTGCTCTTTGACTTACTCCAAATGTAAACTCTGTATTACACAAGTATCACGTGTTCATCTAATTCTGCTTTTAAAATGTCAGTATCCTCAAAAGTGTCCACTCCCTATGTGGGAAGAGCTTGAGTTCTCTCTGTCAGTTCAGTCAATCCTTTTACGGAACTTACTAAAGTTCTTCAAAGTAAAAACTGGAAAAAATTGCAGTCATGCTGCCTCTACTGCTTGGAATGTTTTTATTGCTTTATTTTCTTGATAGTTCTATCATTGCCAATGGACATATATACCAAAATATTGTTCAAAATAATAAACACATAAGAGAAATTGAAGTAAAGACTAACCATAATGTAACTAAGTTTGACAGAGTGTTCATATCTTTCATCACACTTATAAGAGTTGATCCAACCTTAGAAATGAGATATAGATAAAACTTTCTGAGCAGATGACTTCATCTCTTTTTAAGAACTTCCAGTGATGAAGATTTCACAGCCCCTTCAGACAACATACTCCCATATTACAAGATAATATACCCCAACCCAATCTGTCTATCCATCTGTATCTGTTGCTCAACATGAGCTCATTATAAGCTTCATCCCAAAAGCTACCCACCTCCAGGTGTGATCACCCCTTGTTGAGCGTGCAGTCTGAATGTTTTAGCCTATATTTTTTAAATAAAATTGAGAGAATTTCACACCAATCAAAAATAAAGGCATGACACGAGCCAGTCAAGTTCCATCTGTATAATAAGAAATAATATAAAAAATGGCTGAAGACAGGGGGTACATCAGTACGTCAGGGAAGATACCATCACAGATAAATTGGAAGAACGCCTCTGACTTCAGTGATCAGTCGAGGAGCTGAACCTTTCTCCCTACAGAGCTGCCTGCTGGGTAAGATTCACACACTCAATTATGCCGAGTGCTTTCTTTGGAAACTTAGAAATCTCTATAGAGTTGATTTATAAGTCAGCATGCTGGTGGTCAGGCTGTATTACAGTTCATTCATTGCACAAGCTTTGCTGACAGTAAATTTATCACCAGCAATCCAAAGAATTTGTGCATCCTTTGCTTCAATAAACTGTACCATCTCCTAAGCTAGCCATGTGAGTTCTGACTCAATGCTGCTAGATGAAGAATGAGGGGCTCATGAGTAGCTCACCGAATGCCACTAGACAAATGGGGCAGTGTGCTAGTTATTAATCCGTAATCGTAACAGTTCATATATTGAATATGACTAGACTTACAGTACCAAATTGGGTATCACTCAGATGTTTTCTTACTATCTTATTAACAGAACTAGCAGCTGAGGATGTGCCTGAGTAAACTTCTGTCCTAATATGTTGTATGAAAGAAGAAAAGGTTAGCACTTCCCTTGACGAGGATGGAAGATGCCTTAGTTGCCTGCGCAACACGTAAGATTAAGTCACTGCCACCTACTTCATGCCATCTAACCATGTTTTTGAGGAGACAGTGAACTAAGCCAATTCATAGAAGCAAGGGACATCGAGCTGTCTTTAGATATTGCTTAATGAGAGAAGTGGTCAGTGCCCTACCTCTACGTTGATTCAAGGATGGTGGCAAATGCCACTGGGGGGTGGTTACAGCAATGGAAGCAGAACAGGCAGCACAGAGGTAAACCTATCTGTGCCACTGAAGCATAGAAAGATATTGCTGCCTGGGTTGAGAATACGGTTCTAAAAGTATATCTCGTAGATGCTCACATACCCAAGAGTCATGTCACTGAAGAACATAAAAAAAAACCAGCAGGTGTATTGGGCTGCTAGAATTGAAGTGGTTTAGGTAGATCTGGACTAGCAACATAATGGTGAATTATTTTTAGATCGGTGGGCCCATGACACCTCAGACTATCACAGAAAGAAGCAAAATATAGATGAGCTTGGGATCAAGGGGTGGATTCTACCATGGACACTATTGCACAGGTTATTCATGAATTAAGCAAGTCATATAGATAAAGTTTCTTTCTAATCTAACAAAAATGGCCTGATTGATGTTGCTCCCCTTTGAATCTGTAATCATCTCTTTCATTCTACTTTGTGTTTAACTGTCTGCCATGCTCATTTTCATTCTTGTTCTACAGTTTCTTTTTCTGATTCATGGGAAAACATATATTTTTTCCTGATAGATGTACTTTTAATTTCCTTTTTTTCTAATGCTTCAGCTACTAGAAGACTACAAGAAAAAAAAAGAAATATACAGTGGTACTTATCTGTAGAATGACAATGACTTGCACTTAGCATCTCTCCAACTCCATTTGCACAGTAGTTGCTCATTTTTCTTGACACTTGTTCACAAGCCTTTCACTTCTCCTCTTTCTTTCAACTGTGTTCAAAGTAACTGTAGGCATGGTCGTTTGAATGTCGACAGCTGGTCTCTACAGTTAAGAGAGAAAGCTGAGAAGGATGTTTTCAGGATCCTTGACAATAGTGTGTATGTATGAAGGGCAAGAGCAATAAACTTCAAAGTGTTCTGGGTAGTGAAGACTATCTGGGGAACTGAAGAAAACTAAGAGCTGTGAGGATGTTTGCAGCTGGCTGGAAAGATTTCCTTAACGGAAATACTAAAATTGCTTATGACCCCTAAGTTCCCCAAATCCAACTGTGGGATCACTGCTTACAGTTTATGTAGGCTGAACCAATCACAGTGGGGAAAAAAAAGGACACTTTGAGAAAGCTTAGTGCAAGAAGAATTACATGAGACTGAAGCCCAGTTGAAAGAGATCCTACTTACTGTATTGCTTCTACCATTGTTCTTATTCAGCATATTTTGTCACATTATAAACTATGCATGGATGAAAATTGTTCAGTGATGCCTGGCAAATTCTCAAGCATCCTAACATGTAGACCACTAAACACCTGACTCCTAGTATTTGCTGTCACATTGAGTTTTAATACCTTGGGGCATTTTGACTGTGTTTACTGATAGGTAAACAGTACAAGCACTTTCTGCAGACCTAAATACACAGAAACAAATGTTTTTTAAACAGAATATCTTTTTTCTTCCACCTCCATCTTGCCTTTTCAGGCTTAGCTTTGATTATGAGATTGTTTTTCAGGAAAATGAAGATTGCTTAAGAGGATATGAGAAAAGTAAGTGGATATTTTAGCCAGCCTTATTTATATTTTGGAAAACATCGACGCTTTGTAATAACAACAGAACTTCTTAAAAACTGAAATATAATTTTAGAAACATTTTTCTGGATTGAATTTCTGTCCTGAAATCCTTTTAAAATTATGCTTCAGAGTGATTAAGGATGACTAATCCTCTTACTATGTATATAGCATAAAAACGTAAAAATAATGAGGATATAATGATCATTGATGAAAACAGAGCAATGATCTCTAAGAGATCATTACCATGATTTGTAATGTCACTGTAACAAACCACAGGTGGTGAGTTTGGTTAGATCTACGTATGTTCTTCTTACATAAGAAGGAGGTAACAAAAATCATGACTCTGTTAGCCCAGTTTAATACACCAATGGGAAAACAATAATAAAAGCAAAGAAACTACATGCGATATACAAGGAGGGTAATATGACCTAAATAAATACGGTAAAATCTAGTTCAGATAAATAAAAACAAAATTGCCAAGGGTTAGCATGTCTAAGCATAGAAACTATATGTTTATGCCTCAAGGGAATTGTTTTCAAGTTAAAATTTCAAGTTCATGCCAAGACACAGGAGTAAATCTAGTATTCAAAGTCAGAAATTAATGAAGAAATTTCCCCTTCTTGCCAGAGAAATCCTCAAAGTCAACATATTTATGAAACAGATTTAATACTTACAGTTTTAACACAAGCTCAGTCTCTGTTTAGGATCAGGTTAAATGGCCATTGTATGAAAAGTTTAGACCTTGACAAATCTCTTTGAAAGCCTGGTCAGTGAGAGCTTCTTGCTTCTTAACACTGTTCGAAATCTTCTCTGCAGTTATGGTTAGGCAAATGCTAAGCTCTTTTGAAAACTGGCCTGTAGTGACTGAGAACTGCCTGAACTGAAATCATTCTAAGTGCTTGTTGACAGTATTCAGAACTTGGCAGCACATTTGTTGTTGGTTGAACTTCTAAAGGACTTAGAACATGTGTGTACCCATTTTCATGCATGCAGGCAATATCTGAAACAACTGTGAACACCAGGAATTTAGCTTCATTTTCATTTGCTTATCTTTGAAAAGAAAACTGACAACATTGTATTACAAAGTTTTTTTTTTTTCTTCTGCAAAAGCAGGTGATTCTTGGATTCTAAAAGCTGAGAAATTCTGACTTATATAATCCTGACAGATAACCTGAACCTTCTGGTCCCAGCTGAAATTAGTCTAAATAAAGCTTAAGTAGGTAGAAGTCTCAGAAGGGATCATTAATTAATTTCATATTTTTCAAAGTGGTTTTGTTCGTTATGGGAAGTAGTTGAAGGAATGTAATAATTAGCAGTAGTTTCTGTAGCCAAAAACAAGTGAGAGGCTGTAGCCAACAGTCTGTACCACACATTCCTGCGCATGTTGGTCACAGTTTCAGAGCGGAAAAACAATGGCAATCTATTCAAGAAGGAGGAGGTTAATGAGAACTGGTTTAGTGAGAGCAAGGGAAGATGGATGACATGTTGAAGAAAAAGGAGAGTGAAGACTGAAAACATTTTACAGAGAAGAATAGAAAAGATTCCTTCTGAATAACTCTTAAATTCACTCTTCTCTCAACACCTTCTTCAAATGCTTTTGTTCACTTACTGGTTGCAACACATTTGCCAGCTCATCTGTCACATTACTGAGCTCTCTGAATTTGCCTCTGATCAACAATAGCAATAATTTTCTGACTCATTTTCACACATCAATAAAGTTACTATAATTTAGGCACACTGAAGAACAAAAGCCTAAAGTGGTAATCCATCCGCTTCACTATTCTTCATGAAACTGCCCTTCAACTACAAAACCTACCCTTTTGACCTACATAAATGTCTATTTAAAATCTTCACATATATAAGAACTTCTCAACCTAAGAAATCCCTCTCTAACTTCAGAAACTCTAGATCACTGGATCTTTATCACAGTAATCTCCAGCAGTTTTTAACAAGCTAGATGTGAAAAAGCAGAAACAGAGAATGTCACTTGTCTCCTGTTGGGTACTGGAGTGAAAGAAATTCATAGTAGCGTAAATTTCTTTCATCAGTGCCTACACATACTAACTGCAGAAAACATCGTTTCAGTGAATTTTCAGTCTGTGCTTTTTGTGTTCCCAGCATCAAAGGAAGAAAAGAGCACAAAGGGCAGTCGGATGAAATGCATCTCCAGGGGTTAAGGGCTTCATAGCATCACTTGTATGCCTCAGTGAAAATACAGGCTACTACATTAGCTGCACTGCACATTTATTACATCATTCTGTAACCTCCATTCTGTAAGCCCTGGGCATTCTGAGTCATTTAAATAACTCTAGCAATACTCAGCCCTATCCTAATGATCTCTTGTTATGTTAATGGATGCTTATCATGGAAGTAACAATCAAAACAGTTTCACATTTAAAAAGTTTCAGCTTTATACAGCCTCTTTTATATAATTGGATGTTTATTTTCAACCATGGACAAAGATTAACATCTTCATTATAATGTAAAGTGACTGGTATAAATAAACCTATCAACCTATCAACCTATAAACCTAAATCAATTAAACTTTGGTTAGTTTTTTTAATTGTTATTATTTTTTAATGGATCATTTAACAATCATTTAAATCACTGATAACAAAACATTTCTACTGAAAGACTTCGCAAAATAGAACTTCAAAATCAGGCTGGCTTGTCCCAGAACAAATGTTGGAAAAGTACTTACTGTAGGGGTTTAGAAGTATTACAGAAGATGAAGCACAAAGATATCTACTAGGAAAGAGTCTGACTATTTTTTTCTTTACTGATAAATTCTTCATAACCCTTTCAGGTAATCCTGGAGTTTCAATAATCTCTATTGATTTAAGGAATTATTCACACTTGGGCTCAGAATGAAGGAGCTTTTAAAGTTCAATCTCCAAACCCATATGCTTTATTTCACAATATCTTACTGCTCAACTTTAAAACAAATATAACTCCAATCACAATACAATGATGATTGATGTTTTTCATCAACACCCAATTATCATTCCATCGTGGCACAAGACTTTCAAGCGGAGTTGTATGAGCCAAGTGAAACACAAGTGAGCATCTAGAAATCCGGATTTGTGCTCTTACAAAATGGCTTAACAAACCACATTTATTATTTTCTAACGTGTTAGGTCATGTTACTTGTATATAGGTACACAAGATGAGGCATTTATTTGAATCTTATGCTCATGTACATCATTTCACTGATTGCTCGATGATCATAAATGCAAACAGATCTTTTTTGTTGTTGTTTTAAAAGGGCTTAATCTTGAATTCTTCTTAGAATTGGTGAGAACAGTTCTCAGTTCTGTTTGATTTCGCTAGAC